GAGATGACTTTGTCATTTGAGTGGAATCTCTTTCCAACCAAGAATTATTTTAAATTTGGAAAAAGGTGGAAGTCACTGGGGGCCAAATCAGGTGAGTACGGTGAATGTGGAACTAATTGGAAGCTAAGTTCGTTTATTTTTTGTTCAGTGATTCTGGCATTATCGTGGTGAAACAGAACCTTCTTCTTCAAGTGTGGCCTCTTCGATTTCTTTCTTCAGTTTTTCCAAAAGTTCACAGTAATAGACAGCACTGATGGTCTTTCCTCTTTCTAGGTAGTCAATAAAGATGATTCCTTTAGCATTCCCAAAAAACCGAGGCCATCACTTTCCCCGCTGATGGAACTGTTTTTGCCTTCTTTGGTGGTGGCGAACTGGGGTGTTTCCATTGCTTCAACTGTTCTTTTGTTTCAGGAGTGTAGTAATGGATCCACGTTTTATGAGTAGTCACAAACCGACGCAAGAAATCCTGTGGGTTTTTCTTGTAGAAGTCCAAACACTTCTTTGACATCAAAGTGCGAACACGTCTTTGCTCAGTGGTCAGCAGATGCGGCACTCAACTTGCTGAGACCTTCGTCATACCCAAATTTTCGGTTAGATGTGGTGCACTCAGTCGACAGAGATGCCTGTTGTCTCAGCTATCTCACGCGTTTTCAAACGGCAATCTGCTAACACCAAATCGTAAACTTTGTCGATATTTTTTTCAGTGACAGCAGTTAACGGCCGTTCGCTGCAAGGGTCATGTTTCACACTCTCTCTGCCAGATTTAAAAAGGGCTGTCCATTTTTTCACAGTGGTTTACAAAGGAGTAGACTCTCCCAAAACTTCATCCATGTCAGCTTTGATTTGAGATGCGGTCAACCCTTTTTTTCGTCAGGTATTTTATGACTGCACGAGTCTTTGTCTTCTCCATTTTTGACAAAGCATGTGCACATTGACTATCTGCTAAGCTGTCGTGGCAAAACTTTACGACAAATCAAGCGGAAATTGGTATCGTATCTTTAGCAAGGATGACTGAATTATTCCCGCCAAAAATTAAATTGATTGCAGCGCCGCATATAGGCAAGGCCGTGAACTTTTCGAACAGCCCTTGTACATTTGTCTTCATCTTTGACAGGTGTACATAACCTACAAAAAAGAGACATTTTCAATGGAGAATGCATTGTCAGGAACTCTTTGCAGGTTAGTAGGTAGAAAGAGAGAAAAGTCATTATTACCTATCTCTGCAGCATATTGGGTATTGTAGTACAGATACATCAACAATACAATAGTTATTCAGTTAATTCAATAATAGATTCAGTTATTCAGGTTTTGGTATATGATGTTTATATTGTTTTTATAAAAAAAACATTTCAATATAAGCTGAAACTAATTTAGCTTGAACAACACCTTAAATACTTTTTTCTGTAACACTAATTTGTGTTGTTTTTACAATTTATTTAATCTATTAATGTTAAACATGACATTTGATTAGTTACAAAGCTATAAATGATAAAAAAAAATTTATTTTTAGGAAGAAAAAGTCAACATCAATATTTTCGAGTTAGCCCCAAGGATACAGAAACTGTAGAAGGACAGAATGTAGAATTGCATTGTCTCATAGGTAATCAAGCTGGTTCTGTGCAGTGGAGTAAAGATGGATTTTTACTTGGTAAGGTACATTGTTATTTTATAAGATTAAATATATAATTAATAATTTAAATATAACAAAATAATAATTTAATTTTTAGATGTATAAATTTCATATATTCATACAAATATCACTTTTAGTTTAGAAACTAATCTTTTCTCTGTAAAATGTTTTTGATCATTCATGAAGATTATCTTCAGTATCAGTTTATAAACAATTCTTTATAAAATACCACAGTGTTTGTAGAATGCAAGCTATTACAAATAATAATAATAATAATAATAATAATAACTCTCCCGTGGTCACCACCTGGTCGTGGTGGGAGAGCCTAGTAATTTTACTGATCCATAGGGCAATGCAGGCTGGAGCACAAGCTCCTGGTAGGGACACCCATGCCAGTAAGGTCTATGGGGAGAAATGAAGCTAAGAGTGACCACACACCCACATTCTGTGGAGATAATCATTATGGTAGTAACCAGATCTAAGTATGATACCGGCTCGGACGTCGCCCGGGTTAACAAGGTCCGCGTTCGTGGGTTAGGCAGAGGCTCACGTTCGAAAAATAGGCTCCAGTCTCCCTTGGTTACCGGTGGCGAAAGCAGCGCCGGCCCAAGCATGGCTACTGCAATGCCCTCAACAGATGTGAGGAATCAACCTAGCCTTGGTGTTTCTGTGGCAATGCATCCACAGACCACAAAGGCTGGAAAACCACGCCAACGGATGAAATGGACAACAGAAATGAACGAGTTTATCATCCGCACTTACTACACCATCACAAGACTCGAAACAAACATGACAGCATACAGACAACAACTACACCATAGATTCACACAACAATATCCTCACCTCACTGTCACCGAACAAAGGGTTGTTGATCAAAAACGAACAATTATACACAACAACCTTATCCCACAAACAACACTTGAACTTATCAAACAACAGGTTGCTGATCAAATACATCAACAGACAGAAACATTTAACATTAATGAAGATCACGTAACCTGTCAGGATAATCCAGCAACAAGCACTGATTACAGCACACACACAACAAGTACCACTAATGATACTGCAGGCACTTCCCCATCCATCACTGATAACATAGACATAGAATTAGTTAATACACTCTCACTTATATTTCAGGAAACACTCACTAAATATACAGGTACAGATCCCACACAAAGACCACGAATACCGAAAATCAACACGTCAAAGGTAGTAGGAAAAACACTAAATTATGTAAACACTCACTTACTACCAAACTACATTCATTCAATTTCTACACTCTCAGACATTCATACATTAGTTTATGCTGGGGCAGTCACAGTAGTAACACACCATGGACTGAAAATACACTCACAGACAGACACACACAAAACACAATTCTATCACAAGCCTGCCTGGCAGAGAAGAATAGAAACACAAATAAATGACATTAGACAGCAATTAGGCAGGCTGACACAATACACTAAAAACAACATAACACCCAAATTAAAGAAACAACTCAAAAACATTTTCAAGAAAATTAAAACACACACAAAACATGAACATCACAACACACACATTACAGAATACATCGATACACTAAAACAAAAACTCGCAGCCAAAGCACGTAGACTCAAACGATACAAAACATGTACACTACGAAAACAACAAAATAAATTATTCACAAACAATGAAAAACTTTTCTACAGACAAATCAGTACCAAAACAAACACTGATACACAGCACAGTGGCACACCAACAGAAGAAGAACTCACAACTTATTGGTCTTCTCTTTGGTCCAATGCTGTTACACACAATGCTGATGCAGGCTGGATCGAGGAGGAGAACAGAAACTTGCACAACATACCAACTATGCCCTGTGCTGAAATAAACATACACGACATTCGCTACGCTGTTAACAGAACACACAACTGGAAGACACCTGGTGTAGACAACATTCACAATTTCTGGTACAAAAAGTTTACATCACTGCACCAGGAACTAGCTAAACATCTAACACACATCATCATCAATCCACAAGACATGCCAAAATTTCTTACTCAGGGCATCACCTACATGAAACCTAAAAACAACAAAACCACAGACCCCACACAATACAGACCAATTACATGTCTTCCAACACTCTACAAATTATTGACATCCTGTATCACAAACAAAATATACAAACATGTTGAAGAACACGACATTCTTACAGAACAACAAAAAGGTTGCCGTAGAAATCACAGGGGATGCAAAGAACAGTTACTCATAGATTCAGTCATTCTACGGCAAGCACACAAACAACACAGAAACATACACATGGCATATATAGACTACAGAAAAGCATTCGACAGTGTTCCACACAGTTGGCTGCTACATATTCTACACATGTACAAAATACATCCATCACTCATTGCATTCTTCGAAAACACTATGCAGCACTGGAGAACAACACTACATCTCAGGGTTAGTAACACTTCCATACAAACAAACGAAATATTCATTAGGCGAGGAATTTTTCAAGGAGATTCCTTGAGTCCTCTCTGGTTCTGCCTAGCCCTGAATCCATTATCCAACATGTTAAACAACACGCAATACGGCTACAATATCAGACACGAAAAAACAACACAGTTTACACTCTCACATCTCATGTACATGGACGACATAAAACTTTATGCATCCACACAAAAACAACTTCATCAACTCCTACAAATCACACATTCATACACTAAGGACATACAAATGGAGTTTGGCTTAGACAAATGCAAAAAACTTCACATAGAAAAAGGAATCCTGAAGAAAGAAGATTTTGCACTTGGAAATGGAGACGTTATTGAATCCATGGAAGAGGGCGAGTTCTACAAGTACTTAGGATTCCAACAGGCCAAACTAACAGAACATACACAAATAAAGCAACGATTAATTAAAGAATACCAAAGTAGGTTAAACGCTATACTTAGAACACAGTTAAATGCAAAACACACAGTTAAAGCAATAAACACATATGTCATCCCAGTACTCACATACTCTTTTGGAGTTATACATTGGACTCACACAGATCTCGAGCAACTCCAAAGGAAAACAAGAACAACACTTACTAAGCATAAACAACATCATCCTAAATCCGCCACAGAAAGATTAACCCTTCCACGTAAAGAAGGCGGACGTGGCCTGATTGACATAGTTAACCTTCACTACAAACAAATACAGTCACTGCGAGAGTTTTTCTACAAGAAACAAGAAACATCACAGTTACATAAAGCAGTAACTCTAGCAGACTCAAATAACACACCATTAAACTTACACTCACATCATACAGACATGACACAACACATAAAAAGCATAGACACCATCAAGCAATCGTGGGCTCGAAAGGCACTCCATGGCAGGCATCCTTATGACCTGGCCCAGGATTTTGTTGACAAAACTGCGTCAAACAGCTGGTTAGATCGGGGATGCCTCTTTGGGGAGACGGAAGGATTCATGATTGCCATACAGGATCAGGTCATAAATACTAAAAACTACAGAAAACACATACTCAAAGATACAACACTCACAAATGACACATGCAGAAAATGTCACATCATGCCAGAAACTATACAACACATCACTTCTGGTTGCAAGCTCTTGGCACAGACAGATTACTTACATAGACACAATCAAGTAGCAAATATAATACACCAAGAGCTTGCAAAGAAACACAAATTGGCAGACATCCACGAACCATACTACAAGTATATTCCACAGACAGTATTGGAAAACAACACGCACAAAATGTACTACGACAGAGCCATAATCACAGATAAAACAATTTACCACAACAGACCAGACATCACACTCATTGACAAACACAATAAAATCACATACATTATAGACATAGCCATTCCAAACACTCACAATGTACAAAACACATGCACTGAAAAAATTAGCAAGTACACAGAACTCGCCCAGGAAATAAGGCATCTGTGGAGGATGGATAGGGTGCTTATTGTACCTGTTGTTCTCTCCTGTACAGGTGTGATACCACACACACTACACAAAAGCCTGGGAACATTACAATTGAATAGAAATACATACATCACACTACAGAAGGCCACTATATTGAATACATGTCATATTGTTAGGAAATTCCTGAATACAGACGCTGACACACTTATTTAATTTGTTTTGGTTGCTATGCTTTGACTCTGGTCTGGCATAGTACACAGCCACCGGTTTAAACCAAGTATTACCCACTAAACCCAACATAATAATAATAATAAAAAACCTTTCTCACTTTTTCTAGCAAGTTTTAATAAAATGAACTAATGTTTTCATCTATTTTGAATAGTCTACCTTGGGTTTAACATAATTTCAAATGTCAATTAGAACAAAAGATTTAAAATTTTGAGCTTCGCTTGAAATTTTAAATCTTTTGTTTTAATCTTTGTTATAATTGATTGTATTTTAAATCTTAAATCATACTCAAATTAGTAGTGGCTTGCCACTGTACCTCATGCTTTTCCTTTAACAATAAAGTTGTGCCAGTCATCTATCTAACATCTTTCAGGGGAAAGTTTTGAATTGAAGTAACATGACTTCTGGTTTTCATCAGAAGTTTGTATATAGTTAATTGGGGCCTCCTGCCCCTAAGGTTTCCATATCTAGTCTCATCTTTCATCTATCTAACTCCATTCTCGAGATTAAGGAAAGATGGATGTGGGAATTTATAGGTCTACAATTTTTCAAATTACAGCCCAAATATTTTCAAATGTTGAAACAAAATTCCTCAAATTACCATTCTTCTGCTACAATTAAATATCTCCCTCTACCTATCCTATTTAATCAATTGCCTTTGTGTGATTATGTCAGATCCTTTTCAGCAACTTCATCGAAATATATAAAATGACAGCCTAGCCATAGTGATTATCTGACAAAGGATAGGAGGATAAAAGTAAGACAAAGAAAAATAAGGAATAAATTTTTTTTAGTTCTGGAAACAGAACTCCCTCTGTAATATGTAACTTTATTGTTCAGACTTTTGTACATATTTTTTGGAAATGTA